TGCTCTGTTAGAAATTGCAGCTAAAGCAGCCAAGCGTTCTTCTGGTCTCGGAAGAAGTCTTTCCATAGGTTTGTTAGGTTTTTCTAGTCCTTTATCAGCCCCACCTCTTCCTCCTAAGCCTCTATCTCTGCCTCTCCTCTTACTATCATCTCTTTTATTATCCTTATTCCTATCACGGCCTCTATCCTTTCTGTCATGTCTGTCTTTATCATCGTGTTTATCTTTTCTTCTTTCCAATGATCTGTCTTTATGATCACGTCCTCTATCTCTATCTCTACTTGCAGACCTCTTTCTATGTCTTTCAACACTGCCATCACGACGAGTTTGTTTCTTAGGGGAGACAGGTCTACTGCGCTCTGAACTTTCTTTTTTCCTTATATCTTTAGAATGAGAAGAATGCTGTCTTGGAGATCTAGACCTTGCTTTTCTTGGGGACCGACTTCGAACTCTAGTACGGTCTTTTTCTTTGTCGCGTTCCTTTTCCCGGTCCTTCTCTCTTTCTTTTTCTTTAGTACGATCTCTATCTTTATCTCTCTCTCTAACACTATGAGGAGAAACACTTCTGTTTCTCTCTCTCCTCGGAGGAGACTTCCCATGTTTTATAGTACTTTTTGCTAAGCTTTTTGTTGTTATAGGAGGTGTTCCACCAGATTTCTTACCTGGTGATAGTGATTTCTTTCCAATTGTTGATTTATTGATGGTTTTCTTCTTGGCAGTTTCTTGCTTTTTGAGAATCCTGTCATCTTTTTTTGAAGCTGTTTTCTTAGGCTCACTTTTATCTCTCTTTAATGAATCATTTTTAATGAACTTTTTTTTAGATGGTGCATCACCATCTGATGATGAACTGGAATTCCTTTTAAGTTTTCCCTTTTTTACCTTCCGCCTTGCCTCTCTATAACAAAAATAGATCTTGGAATACTTAATACATAGCAAGATATAGAAACGTAGGTACATCAGATTGATGAAATTGGGATGTATGTTTCTAAATTTAAACTTTGAACAAAAAAAGATAAAGAATATACAATTTACCTGCCAGAAGATGAGGATGAAGAGCTATTGTCTGATGAAGAAGATGATACGCTCGAAGAACTAGAACTTCGCGAAGATGATGTGCTAGACATCGTTTTCTTTTTATCTTTGCGCATATCTTTATTAGAGTCCATTTTCAATTGCAGCTCTAACTCACGTTGCAGTTGCTGTCGTCTTTTTTCCAGGACGTCTGTATCTGCGTATTCTAGGTCATTTTGATCCCAATTGTCGATTTCACCATCTGGACTGCGCCCTGAACGCACAACGACGGTCGAATGAAGTCTACTCTTAGGATCATCTTTTATGACACGTTTATGTTCGCTATCTTTATTTGCCGCACGTTGCTTCGATGGACTTATTAACGTATGAGTTGATGCAAATTTACAACTTTTACCGTAAGCACAACTGCCGTTTTGTGCCCACTGTCTACAATGTTCAGTTGTTTTTTTAGCGCTAGATTTCTTGGTACCGAGTCGCTCAAAAACACTAGGTCTATTAGCTAGATCTTTTGACTTCGGTAATTCGACAGTAATTTTTCTTTTTCCTTGTTTTGACATTATAAAGAAAACACATCGGTCTCACACAACTAAAAGCGATTAAAAACACACATTTCCACCGGTGCTAATAGAGCAGCCATTGTTATTGTTGTTTATGGTCAAATTGAAAGTCAAACTCAAAAGTCAATCAAAGACATTCAAAGTCACTTTAATTCGAAACCGGCAATGATCAATGGCCATACTGCCACACCAATGAAATTTTATGATTTTCAATTCTTTAATTTTATTTTTTAGGTACATTAATAATTCGTATATGTATCAATATAATGGTAATATTATTGATTATGTTGTTAAATTTTTTGAAGCAAGTGCACGTTATTCATTAGATTCGTTATAGATTATACACTATATATCAATGAACTAAGAATGAACTGAGTGAACTATTCTACTCTTTGATTGACTTTTTGTCATAAATGTTAAAAATAACCTAGCAAATACTGTTTCAGTATAATTATTATTCTGTTTGTTTGTATCGCTTTCAAATTAATTTGCTGTTTTAACAACAGTCTACTGAGAATATTGAAGTTTAACCTGTGCTTTCTGATCTGCAGTACAAAATGCCACTATTGGACGGGAAAGAAATCGACATATTTTTTGTAAGTTTTGTGCTCACCTATTAGTTTTATTTTTAGAGTAAAAGAAGTTAATCTTATATATATTAATATTTAAATACCTAATTCAATAAACTATTTTTCTCATAAGACTATTACATCACACGGATTTTAACCCATATACCTATTATGCACGTACTTTTTCTTGTTTACATCTGTTGAATGACTCCAATCAGTAAAACTATTTGATTACTAACAGCTTTCTGGAGTGAACTATTAATATTATTATTTTAATTTTCAGAGTGAAGAAGATTTGCCATATGAAGAGGAGATTTTGAGAAATCCTTTCTCAGTAAAACACTGGCTAAGATACATTGAACATAAGAAAGCGGCTCCGAAACATGAGATTAACATGATCTATGAGAGAGCTCTGAAAGAGTTGCCTGGATCATTTAAGCTTTGGTATAACTATCTAAAGTTACGAAGAAGTCAAATTAGAGGGAAATGTATCACTGACCCTTGTTTTGAAGATGTGAACAATTGTTTTGAAAGATCTTTGGTATTCATGCATAAAATGCCTAGAATTTGGATGGACTATTGCACTTTTCTCACTGATCAATGTAAAATCACTATAACAAGGAAAGCATTTGATAGTGCTTTAAGGGCTTTGCCTATAACACAACATCACAGAATATGGCCTCTTTATCTAAATTTCTTGAAAAAACATGATATTTCTGAAACAGCTGTTAGGGTGTTTAGAAGGTACCTTAAGCTATGTCCTGAAGATACAGAAGAATATATTGATTATTTGATCTCTATAAACAAATTGGATGAAGCTGCTGTAAAATTGGCTCAAATAGTAAATAATGAGAACTTTCAATCAAAACATGGTAAATCAAACCATCAACTTTGGAATGAACTTTGTGAGCTTATATCTAAAAACCCTGATCAAATCCATACTCTGAATGTAGATGCTATTATCAGAGGTGGACTAAGACGCTATACAGATCAATTAGGTCATTTATGGAATTCGCTGGCTGATTACTATGTAAGGAGTGGTTTATTCGAAAGAGCTAGAGACATTTATGAAGAAGCTATTCAAACAGTTACCACAGTTAGGGACTTTACACAAGTATTTGATGCATATGCTCAATTTGAAGAACTTAGTTTAAGTAAGAAAATGGAAGAAGTTGCTAAAAAGCCTAGCCCCACTGAAGATGATGATATTGATCTAGAACTAAGACTTGCTCGATTTGAGTACCTAATGGAACGAAGACTACTGTTGCTCAACTCTGTACTTCTGAGACAAAACCCACACAATGTGGCTGAATGGCACAAACGAGTTAAACTTTATGAAGATAAACCTCATGAAATTATTGATACATACACTGAGGCCGTGCAAACAGTAGATCCTAAACTTGCTGTAGGCAAATTATATACTTTGTGGGTTGGATTTGCAAAATTTTACGAAAAAAATGAACAAATAGAAGATGCAAGACTTATTTTTGAAAAAGCAACACAAGTTAACTACGCTAAAGTTGATGATTTGGCATCAGTATGGTGTGAATGGGCAGAAATGGAAATACGACATGAGAACTATGAAGAGGCCCTCAAGCTCATGCAAAAGGCTACTGTTTTACCCAGCAGAAAAGTGGCATATCATGATGATACTGAAACAGTACAGATGAGATTATATAAATCTTTGAAGGTATGGTCTATGTATGCTGACTTGGAAGAAAGTTTTGGTACATATAAATCATGCAAGGCAGTATATGATCATATTATTGATTTAAAAATTGCAACACCACAAATTATTATAAACTATGGTCTCTTCCTAGAGGAACACAACTACTTTGAAGAAGCTTTCAGAGCCTATGAGAAGGGTATAGCATTATTTAAATGGCCGAATGTTTATGACATTTGGAATACTTACCTAACAAAATTTCTCAAAAGATATGGAGGTACAAAACTTGAAAGAGCCAGAGATTTATTTGAGCAATGTCTGGAACATTGTCCACCACAATTTGCGAAATCTATATTTTTACTTTATGCAAAATTAGAAGAAGAACATGGTCTAGCAAGACATGCTATGGCTGTTTACGAACGCGCAACAACTGCTGTACTACCAGAAGAAATGTTTGAAATGTTTAATATTTATATTAAGAAAGCTGCTGAAATTTATGGTGTACCAAAAACACGCCAAATATATGAAAAAGCAATTGAAACACTTCCTGACGAAAAAGCGAGAGAGATGTGTGTTCGCTTTTCTGAAATGGAAACACGTCTTGGCGAAATTGATAGAGCGCGAGCAATATACGCTCATTGTAGCCAAATGTGTGATCCTAGAATTACTGCAGAGTTTTGGAATACATGGAAGGAATTTGAAGTAAGACATGGAAATGAAGATACTATGAGAGAAATGTTGAGAATTAAGCGAAGTGTTCAGGCTACATACAACACACAAGTCAACATGATGTCTGCCCAAATGTTAAGTTCAGCAGCACAAGCGGCAGGTACAGTTTCTGACTTAGCCCCAGGAATGAAGGATGGTATGAGAATGTTAGAAGCCAAAGCTGCTGAAATGGCAGTTCAAAGTAAAGGTAATATTGCATTTGTGCGTGGTGAAACACAAGGTCTTAAAGAAAGTGGTGATAAAGTTGTCAACCCTGATGAAATCGACATTGATGAAGATTCTGAAAACAGTGAAGATGAAGGTGAAGTTGCTCCTGTTCAGAAAAAAGAAATTCCAGCAGCTGTTTTCGGAGGACTTATGAAAGACAACTGAAGTGAACTGTTTGTAATCATAAATGCATTTTTAATTAATTAAATAATCTTTAGTAATAAATCAACTTTTAATCATAAGCTTAGTTACATATACAATAAGCCATATTTACAACAGAAATCACAGAACACATTTCATTATTATTAAGATTGCTGATATTAAGAAACAGTACAAATAGAACAGGATTAGTGGCGAAGAATTGAGATAGCGACTTAGTTATATAAAGCAAATGTTTGACTTTGCAACTGTAACATGATAAACAAGAAAATTCTCTTTAACTGATCAATTTGTAACTTAAATCATAAAATGTCAGAGAGTCTGCAGGTATAAATATCTAGAATTATCTAGGAAAATATACACAAATTAAAAAGTAAAGATAAAGCAACATTTTGAATTACACATCTGTTCATATGATATCTCTGGGTGGTGTAATAAAATGCAATGAATTTGAGTACATATTTTGATGCTCTGCATAATTTAAAATACTGATATCATTGTGAACACCACCAAACATTATTAGTTCCCCATTTCCTTTCACTAATGAATACATAACTAATTCTTCTGGTGCTCCAGTCATTTCACCTAAACGAGGACAGAGCCATGCCACATAATTGAGGGAATTACCGTCAACTATGGTTGAAATGTCTAAAACATGCATAGTCAAAGTATTCCGTTTGACTTTCTTTACTGCAGGTTGCCTTGGTTGAGGATTAGGGGGAGAAGGCAATGGTTCTCTTCTATTTTCTAAATGAGCTATTTGTCTTTGATTTATGAGATCATTTTCTGGAGCTGTATTATTTTGGGATGTATCACATGCAAATGCTGCCATCCTGTACTTATTAGCTTCTTGCAGCTGTCTTACAATTTTCATTCCTTTATTCTGAAAATAAAAAGCTCAATGAGTAATACAAGTCATTAGATTGAAATGTTACGAAGGAGGTACATTATCAAAGTAATATATGTTATTTAACATCAACTAATTGCTCGATAATTAAAAATTTACATATCAAATAACCACTCACCTTATTTTTATTTCTCCTCAAAGCCAAATCTTTTTTGTTAATGTCTATTCCATTGCTTTGTTTTGCATCTGAATTGACACCAACAAGGCCATTCTGATCAGAATGATTTTCAATGCCAGCTTGATGTTGAGACCTTTCTCTTTCATGCTCATTACTGGGACCAGCAACTGGTTCATCATTAGGGTTGACTTGTTCTTGTCTGGGTGGGTTTAATGGTCGTCTAGGCAATACACCTCTTCGACCATTTATATTTTGATCCCTATCCAAAGGTCTTTGTAAACTTTGCTCAACTCTAACTGAAATTGGGTTTCCTTCTGGTCTACTCAGTGCAGATAACCTTACTGCTGATGTAACTAAAGGTTTAGCACTATTCCAACCATTTCTACTTCTACTTAAACTCACAACCTTATCACCAACTCTGCAAGCAGGATTGCACCATATATTAGCAGAAGCCCATTCTTTGTTTTTGACTGCCAGTTCTTTCCATGTCCACACTGGGCCTTTCATTGTCAGTACCCAGCAATCACTATACACAAAGCGGTTACGTAAAGTTTGAACTCCACCAAGGAGCATCAATCTGTCTGAATCCAAACTAATCAGTGATTGTGCATATCTTGGTGCAGGCCTTGGTTTAGTTGTGGCTTGTAGTCTCCAAGTAAGTGTAGGTATGTCTAAAACCCACACATCATTAGAGCATTGAATTTGATGATTTTGAAGTGGTGACATAATTAATCCTCCAAACACAACCATTTCGTCACCTTTCATACATGCTGAATGTCCTGCCATTGGTGGAGGACAGTTTGTTGCATTTATTAGGATCCATTTATTTGTATTTACACAATAAAAGTGTATTTCATTGAACATTGTAACATTTTGATAATATTGCGAGAGTGAGGGATATGTCCACCCTCCAAAAACTATTAAACAGTCTTTATAATGAACCATTGAAGTATATGCTTTTGGTACAGGATATGTGCCAGTAGCTAAGGGTCTTACCCACTGTCTAATGGATAAATCAAACCTCCAGAGATCATTAAACGAAGTTGCATTAGTTGTGCAGCCTCCAAATATGTACATGTTATTCTCAAGTACACATGCAGCATGTGAAAATCTTTTAGTAATAGTGGGCACCATGTCAGTTGAAGTTATATTTTTCCATAATACTTTGAACTCTCCCACGGCTTTTATCAATTTTATTGATGTTTTATGTAAGACATCTGAAAAACAAATGAGTGGTTAATGAAATCGCAACATAATGATAAAACAAAACGATTAAGAAACATTACACTTACTTTGAGAACAATTGTACCACCGTTTACAAACTATCATACAATTTTGTAAGTCTTTGTAAGGTGGTAAAAACCCCAAAATAAATTCTAACACTTCATCTGGAAGATCTTCAATGGTGCTTTGCAAAGTTTGCTGACTCAAAGATTGGTGAATAACATCCATTTTTTTATTGGGTGAGTTAATTATTTTTTGTTCATCACATTACTTTGATTAGGAGAATTATCGGCAAAATGTTTGGACTCCAAATTGAAAACATTGAGATTTCTTGAATTGTAAATTGTAATTGATTGAATTTGAAGACAGAATTTGACAATATTTTGTGCTCTTGATGACATTTGGATGTTTTTATGTAAGCATGACAGTTGACAACTTTAATGCCAAAGTTACTAAAAGAAAACTTTGTAGTGTTGTATTTACAACAAAATTCACAAAATACCGATTATATTGTCTTTACTTTTCATGCGTTTCCATTTCCATAGACAGAATAGATCTCTTGATCTGTCATAAAATGACATGAATGAAGAAAGCGCGAATATTTAAAATTGTATTTATTGCGGTAGACAACAATACGTTAATTAGTTGTATGCTTAGTTACAATGCTCTAAGTAAATAAATAAATAAGTTTTATAGACTGCTCTTAAGGATACTGTAGAGTGTTTAAAAAATATTCTATACAAAAGTGGTGTTTTGACAGATAACCTAAAAGAACCGTGATTATATCAGCGTTGTAAATAATAGGATAAAAGAGACTTTTCACACAGTGTATATTTAATTAAATAATCAATCATGCAGCTGTTGATACAAGCTAGTCCGTTGATAGATAAATTAAAACATTGGCACCGAGCTATATCTTTTAATGAAGTCCAGTTAACAACTTCTCAGAAGGTCAGTATTATGGTATTATCAGGAATAATATTCAAATTTGTATCTATGTAGTGCTTCTATTATCATTTAAATGATTGAATAGTATAAACTATAAGAACGACTGCAAATTCTAGGACATACATCTGGTGTTGTAATAAGTAAACATGAAGGAACAAAATGTGAAACTAATGTGATCAAACAATTTACTGGTTTAAAGGTCACTTGTGATGTGAATAAGTACAAGTTACAGGGTCAAGCGTGCATGAGTGTGTATAGCTCTGTGTTGTAGTAATAGCAATGATCTTAATAGTAAAAATAAATTTGTAGACACATTGTGATATTTTTTTGTATAATTTGTGTGTTACCAATTTCTGTATTTACTTTTCAGGTTGTACTATGGAGCTTAGGAGTTGTAGGTACAAGTGCTGTAGTAGTTGGTGTACTGTCAAGGTATTTAGCCAGGCGACGAGCTAAACCTATAATAAACCCTCGGATTCAAAGAGCCATTAATAAAAGAATCTCCCGAATGAGAAGTCCGAACGGAGGTAATTTAAGTTTAATGTTATTTTTTCATATTCCAAGGTGTATGATTACTAAGTTAAACACAAACAAAGTAAATAAAAATACTTCTATCTAAAATAAATAGTAAATAATATAGTAAAAGTATATTGAAAGTTCAACAGAAGACCTAATTTGTTTATCAGTGTGACAAATAAATAAAAAAATATTGTAACAGGAATAAATGTATCCAATTGTCATAAGCGTTATATCATCGAGAAAGAAATTAACTATGAATTTAAAATTTTACCCCTCTTTTATGGCAAATTGATAAGAGGTTTGATAATAACTTTTTCCTCAGGAATGGGATCGGTAGCTAGTAGTGGTGGGCGTAGCAGTCCATTGGGCTTTAGTGAACGATTGTCCCTTGCGTCAGGATCCATTGGTTCAGGGGCTGGAGACGCTGCGCCGTTATCACCTCAGCAACTTGGCGTTATGGGTAAGTAATAATTTAGTACAGCGCCATCTGCTATGGATTAGCAGAATGAAATAATATTTTCTTAAAAACAAACTATTTAATGGTTTGAAAACCCGTTAATTACTCGACTGTTTGTGGCCAAATTGAGAAAAGAAAATTTCTTATTTCCAATTTCCTTTACTATTTTACATATTTAAAAACATAAATGTTTTTTCATAATCTATGAATGAGCACATTGCATAATTATAATTTTTACTATTTCATTACTTGTTGCATTTTATCTTAACGGCAGAAATTGTTTTGCGTAGGTAGGTAATTGTTTATCAGTAATAGGGGTGAGAGTAATATTAAAAAAAAATGTTTATGGGATGGCATGTTACAAAAATTTTGAAGCGCCATCTCTTATCGAGTAGTTAAATTACATAGTAAAGTAGATTTCTTTAACTAGTTGTAGTTTACATATTGTAGTGTAGATGTCGCTTCTACTAAAAGTAAACTAAATAAAAATAATTAATATAAATTTCAACCTAACTTATGAAAGTGATATTTACGTAAGTATTTATTTTCATTCATAAATTGATATGCCAAACAAATTGTAACATAGGTACTGATTGCATTCGTCTACACTTACAGTACAAATTAAGCGCACGCGTGGCCAATTTCTTCTTTTATTAGATCTGTCAAAGGTTGATGATGATACATGTGTATTTCTTGATTTAGACTTCATGCGCCTACGATATCTATGAATTCTATGATGTAATACCTAATTACTTTGTGCCATTTAAAATTGACCTATTTATCGACTGTAACTGTACTTACCTACTCAAGTCTTTATGTCTTTATATCTTTATAGTTTATATATGCATAGGTATATATAAAAATAGGAAGGTAGATAAAAATCTGTCCCTAGTGACGTTTTATCTTCGATAACTCGATTTTCATTGTTAATGATAGAATTTTTGAACATAAATGGATACCTACATAATTCATATTCATTAAATCATTTGCAAACATGGGTACCTACATAATATATAGGTGTAACAAACTTTACAGTTTCTCAAAATTTTGCCTTCACTTTGCATTCAAAGTTATGTTATAAAAAAAAATTAATTCGTTTATAACTGATTCCACTCAGCAATCACGATGTAAAGAAAAGACGATCTTTAATATTATTCTATGCACATTAAGAATTATCGCGCACCTGAGGCCCAGAGATTAAAAAAAACATACCATGATTAAAATAATAGTCATACCTATCATTGATAATACGAGTAATTCCATGTCATCTCCGGTAGAAGATGAGCTTTGTTTAATGCCTGCATTCATGTTTTATGATATTTTAAAAATATTCCAATTGTCTCTGAAATAATAAGACATAACATGGAGACATAACAAGACACTTCCTTTTATTTAGACGACATACCTGACCACCTTATATGCGTGTACTATAATATTTATTTTACGTAGGTACATTTACATGGTACTAACATAACTATGAAGGTTAAACAATTTCTTTCTATAGTAAGTACCTACCTACTTCTCCTATCATATTACCTATGATTTAACTAATTTTATTACGGAAACAAAAATTATTGTTCAGTGTTGTATTGTAATTGTGCTTCATTGAAGTATAGAATTTATAGCGGATCGGATAATGTCAAAGTCAGTGAACTTGTGACTAGTTGTGAGACCAAAAGGCTTAGTACGAGTTTGCGACACAAGACCGCGTTCGGCGTTCTAATTGGCCAGCTCCAATGAAACAACTAATCAGAGCGCCGAACCCGGTATAGTTTCGTTTTTTTTATACGTGAAACAAACTTATACTAAGCCTTCTGTCTGTATTACCTGACTGTGAGTAGTCGTAGTATGATAGTGGAAGTAATAGGTATAATACATAGGTACCTACACCACATACCGTTTTATTTAAATCACGTCTATATCTAGCGAGCCTTGAGTGAGGTGATGCGAATTGTGTAGGTAAGTAGGTAATTTAATAAAGCTTCGTTATGATTCTAATCTAATTGCTGCTCTGTCTATGACCTCAGTACACTTAAGAGTCTTCCACGCAGGTGATTTGAGTTTAGCTGCAGAATGTCACTTTTTTTGAGGGGGAAAATGATTCAGTGACTTCTCCCGCCTTGGGTTAAGCGAGAGGGAATGTCTGACTTAACACTTTGAGTACTGTCATTATAGACACAATAAAGAAGTTTAGGTTGGGTCATAATAGGTTGCGGTCACCGGTGTCCTCGCGGTGTTTGACAGTTTAACCCGGTCCTATTCCTACTCTTCAACCTGTTAGGCCTTCCGCGGCAGCGCAGAATGTCTGTGAAGATTTTCCTCTGTTCTTTTTTTTTGTTTTAGAAACAAAAAATCTGCTAGACTATTCCGTAACTGCCAATTTGAACTTTCAAAGTGAGCTCGACCGCTTTCTAACTCGTTATTCACTTCTATATTTCGAATTTAAAGTTACAGTATAGCCTATATGGACTTATTATTTAGAACACTGCACACAGAATGCATTGATATCTTACTCATTCATAATTTAATTCACGAAAAATCGCCGTGAATCTTTCATTCCTACTAACGTTACTAACATAGGTACAGCCTACCAAGCCTCTCTGGGAATAACACGATAACCACATTTAATTAATCATATCGTTATCAGCCATCACGACCGCCATCTTTAAATCTTCGGATCGGACTTCTCAGTGATTGCTAGGCTGTAGGCATGACTAGCAAGTAAGACGGGGGTTAATGACCGCATTATTTACGACTAGAGATTGAACAACAGTCGGACACCTCTGTTCCTCATTAGGTCCATGGTTTACGAGCCTTACCTTCATGGAAGTGTACTTAAGGTCGTAGTAGGTTAGGGACCTACCTGGTATTAAATAACACAACATTATGCAGATTATGTGAATACTTTTCCCTTGTTGCTACAAATAAAATGTATGTTAGTGACCTTATTGTGAAAGGGCAAGAGCCATTTCACCTAAGTTTCATGTCGATAGTCTTCGGAATATGACGTTTTCTCTTTCCATTCTCCTAACTCGGACTTCCACCAATCACAAACCCTGATTCCTTACTCATCTTTCATCATCATTGTATTTTCTGTTGTGTCTTATATACCGGCAGTCAAGAGGTTAACCATCTTTTTTACCGTATGTATAGGTATTTGGATCCATAACTTTATTTTACCTTCCTCCCTTGTCTCCCGAATCCCCGAATCCTCCACAATCCCCAAATTCCCAATTCTCAAAAAGCCAGTAACGCACTTGAAACGTCTTGGTGTTTCGGGTGTCCACGGGCGGCGCGATTGCTTACCATCACGTGATCTAGCTCCCCGTTTACCGGCTTATGCTATAAAAAATAAACTTTTCCAATTGCTAATAAGTAATTATGTCGGAAATGTGAACCCTAATACATATTATGTAGATTATGTTTTACTTATTCCCTTTTTTACCATCTTTTGCCATTTTTGGGGATGAAACCGAAAACATTGTACTAAACTATTAAAGTTCCTATGTAGGTAATCTACAATGCCTTAGTGATTAGTACATATCTAGTTACAATTATCCGATCATAGTAATTCCAAGGTACCTGGGTATTAATGGAGCTATTCGCAGTATTAATATTTTAAATTCATTCGTGACGTCAGCACCTGGTTCTGATGTCAGCTCACCGAGCTGAACTCACCTTGACCCAGTAAAGTTATTACGACTAGGTAAACAATGACATTGTTTTTTTATTATGTATATGAGCTTAAGGTGTCTATTTGTTTGAGGTTTTAGTTTCCTATTTAACAACTTACCAACTTACCAAATAGTGAAGGATATTTGAGGTACCTACATACTATCTATATTGATTATCTTATAAAACATGTCATATGGAGATTTTACATAAACCACAGGTAATCTAATGCGTACCTTATTGGTATTTACTTTTAAGTGTAAATTCCTTTAACTATCACAAGTTTGCATAGCATAAAAACTTAATACCGAAGGCTACGATATACAAAAACCAGTTGACAAATTATTGTAGATTCTATAGGCCTCTACGCTTATATCGCTTGTCTTTACTCTAATGGTCTTCCATAACAATATACCTAAGCAGTTTTATACAAACACCAGTAGCAATAACAGATCAACGCTTGTATAATATAGTTGAGACATAACCGTAACAGGAAATACCACTTTCCTTTCCATAACGTTTGAATGTCAAGGTTTCAGCTTAGATAACGCCACCATTTGCCAACTGGAAACAATATCTGATGGCATTTACACAAACTGGAACATTAGTTACGCTTTGTAAACTACATAAAGTACCTATTACTTAGTCGAACCACTGTTTTTTTTTTTTTTTTTTTTTTTTTTTTTTTTTAAAAAAAAACGTTGCCCCACACTAGGATTTTCTCCTGTGTCGTGGGTGCGTTTACAAACATACAAGTTCACATACACAATGACACCCAGACCCGAAACAACAATTTGTGGATCACACAAAGTGTTGTCTCGTGCGGGAATCGAACCCGCGACACGTTGCACGGCAGCCAGTTGCCCAGCCACCGCACCAACCGTGCAGTCAAAGTTTAAACGTATACAAGTACAATATTAGAAACTTATCTGCCTTTCACCGCAAATAATCCATTATCAACAATGACGTAAGCGACTGTAACTATCGGCCAGAAGCGATCGCTAAATTCGCCGTAACATAATGTGGCTCGTTGGTCTAGGGGTATGATTCTCGCTTTGGGTGCGAGAGGTCCCGGGTTCAAATCCCGGACGAGCCCGCTTTTTGTTGTTCTTTTTGGTTTTGTATACATGTTTGTGTTGTTTTTCTACAGTTTTTGAGTATAATGACAAGAATGTAACGGATTATGAATTAATAGAATGTTATTTTTATATTGTTTATGAAATATTTCGTTACTAAAGTGAAGAAATTCTCAGAATTTATTATATCTATTTTCCACGTGAACACCGTCCACAATATTGTTTTTCATACCTTCTCAGTTGTTTTTTTGCAAT